AGCCGCGCGGCGCCGAGCCCCGCCCCCTTGCTGCCCATTGGCTGGGGGCGAGGAGGGGCGTGGCCATCGGCGCGGCCCCGCGCCCACGCGGTTTGGCCTTTTTAGGAGCGGCCGATGCTTCCCCCCCCCCTCCTCAATCTCCCCTCCACGGATCTCACGGCCCCTCCCGCCCCGCCCCGCCCCGCCCCGCCGGGACCAACCCGGCGCCGTTGAGCCCGCGGGACGCTGCGGGCACCGGCACGTGGTGGGACGCCGCCTGGAGTCATTGCGTTTAATGGCTGAAAACGTTACACGGAACGCGGAGGGGGGGGAGCTGCGCTGAGGGTCCTGGTGCTGCCCCCCCCCGCCCCCCTCCGGGCACAGCCCCAAGATTGAGCCAGAAAAAGTTCCTGCAGCTTGTCCTTCTGTCCCAGAGTTTTCCCTGTCCCATGCCAGGGGCTGCAGAGAGGGCGGAGGCACCGGCCGCCCCCACACCATTCATCCCTCATCCCTGAACCCACCGCCACACGGCTCGAGGCCAGGAGAAGCGCCTTCCTCCATCCCCAGCCAGGATGCGAAGGTCCCGAGGGCTCCTGAGGGTTCCTCAGTTCTGCATCACTCAGCCCCCGAAGTCGGAGGCAAAGGTGTGGGCAGGGGCGGGGGGCCGTCAGTGCGGCATGGCCGTTATCCGCATGCTCTGCGAGGCAATGGGGTACGTCACCATCGGGGTGGTGGCGTGGCTCATGGTGATGCCTCCCAGCGGCTGCGCCATCGACACGGCCACCGGAGCCACCGAAACGGCCACCGGGGCCATAGAGACCGGGGGAGCCATGCCCTGGGCAATGGTCTGTGCCAAGGCGGCCGAGAGAGGGGTGATTTCGGGGTTCATGGGGGGAGCGGCGTTGGCCGGGGGTGCCGCCTGGGCGCCGGCAGGCGCCACCAAATCCTGCTGGGAGACGGGCCGGGGCTGCAAAGCCTGGCTGCTGAGCGTGGTGTGGGTCTGCGCGATGCTGTGGTTGTAATTGGTGACGGTGCCCACGGTGGGGGCCAGAGTCTGCTCGGTGGCCGTGGCCGTGGAGCTCAGCGTCATCACCTTGGCCTGGTTGCGGAACTGGGCGTTCTGCTCCAAGAGCACCTCGTTGGTCGCCATCAGGTTGTTCACCTGCTTCTTGAGGTCCTCCACACGCTTCCGCAGCATGATGTTCTCCTCTTCCAGCAGCCGGTACTCCACTGTCCGCGGGTTGGCGAAGCTGTACTCGTAGGTCTCAAAGGACAGCCCGTCCACCCGCCGCCGCTTCAGCAGGGGCTCGTGGTCATCATAGCGGTCGCCGTCATATATGGCATCATAGGGGTCGTAGCGGCGCACGGCGGCCACCATTCCCGGCTCCCGGGAGGCCATGCCCCGCGCCTCGTACTCGTAGTCCCGCTGCAGGTGCTGGAACTTACACTTGGCACCGCGCTGACAGTCACCCTTCAAGAAGTCCCTGCAGATGGGCACCTCCTCCTTGCTGTTGGGCAGGTCGGCGGGCGAGAGGCCGAGTCCCGCCGCCACCTTCTGCCGCAGGCGTGGGGGCAGCTCGCCTGTCTTCTTGTAGCAGTCCTCATCCTCCTTGGTGCCGTGGATGAAGCGGCAGTTGAGGCGCACGCATTCCTTGTTCTGGAAGTCGTGGCAGAAGATGAATTCGTTCTTGCGCACGCCCAGGTTGGTCACCTCGCTGATGTCGGGGTGCCGGAAGCGGCAGCGCTTCCCCCGCTTGCAGACGTTGCGCAGGAAATCGCGGCAGATATCATCAGCGTCGGCACCCGCCTCATCGCCGCCGCTGTTGCTGTAGCCGTCCCGGTCGGGCATCTTTGCCGCCGCGGGGGCGCTGCGAAAGGAAGGAGAGCGGCGAGGGTGAGGAACCGGGCCCGGAACGCGGAGATACCGGGGAGCGCGGCCGCGGGTGAGGGGCGGCCCGGGCCCGCAGTCGGAGCTCGGAGGCGCGGGGCCCACAGAGCCCGAGACGGCCCCGCAGGAGCCGGGCCGGGTCCCGAGCGCTGCGGGCGAGGGAAGGGAGAGCACCGCCCCCGCGAGTAGGAACCATAGGAACCATCCGCAGGCCCGGGAAAGGCCCGACGGTGTGGCCTGCGGCGGGGCCCGGCCTGGAGAGGGACGGAGCGGATGTGACCGATCCCGTGGCCTCGGCCCAGCTCGGCCCGGCCCGCCGCGGCCTCCCGCGCCCTCCGCAGCCCCGCACTCACCCGCTCGCGGCCTCCTCGCGAGTTCTCCAGTGCCAACAATGAGCGGTCCCTTCCGGCCGCCGCTCTGCGCCGGGCAGGAAGTGCTCTATGCTGCTTCCGGGGCATCCCGGAAGAAACTGCCCGCTTCCTCCCCGCGTCACGCGCGCACGGTCGGAACGCTTCTTCCGGGTTCGTGACGTCATAACAGCGCGCCGCCGCGGCCGCCGAAAGCCTCAGCCCTACGGGTTCCCTGCACCGCCCCGGGCCCACCCCGGTACCGGCACGGAACAGCCCGCTGCCCCCGCAGCTGCAGCCCCGCGTCTCGGAGACGCGAGCTGAGCCGTCCCTCCCCCGGCCCGCTGCTCGTCCCGGTGCAGCTCCCTCCCAACCGGCGCTCCGCGGGCACCGCTCTGGGCCGCAGCCCCGAGCAAAGCATCAAAGGCGTCCGAAAACATCTCCAACTTTATTGGCGGCGCTACAGAGCCCGGCCCGGTGCGGCGGGACGGGACCCCACCACGGCCCCGCGGCGCTGGGGCGGCTCCTCGCTCTTCCACGCGCGGCACGGTCCGGTCCCAGCACTACTTGGACCTCTGTCGCATCTTCCTCCTCTTGCGCTTCAGCCTAAGGGACAGAGCGGCGTCACAGCCCGGGACCGCGCCCACAGCCTTGGAGCGGCCGCCGTTCCCGGCTCCGGCCGCGGTCCCGCGGGCAGCGTTCACACGTACCTGCGCATTCGCTTCTTGCGCCACTGCAGAGGGAGAAGAGCAGCGGGTGAGTGATGCGGCCCGCGGCGGCCCCGCGTCACAGCCCGTTTCCACTGAGAGTCCCCGCTGCCCCGCTCCGTGCCGGCATCCCCGCGGCCTCAGCTCACTCCCCGGCCCCGCCCCGCGGCCCCCGCTGTGCCCCGTGCACCGCCGGACCCCCGGCTCCTGTTCCACGGCCCCACGGGGAGCTCCCCACACTCTCGGCGCCCGCAGCCCCGGCCCCGTGTAGGCCTCTCCAGGCCCGGCCGCCGCTGGGGACGCGGATCGTTTCCGGGCGCCATCTGTCTTCCCCCGCCGCTCACCTTGGCCCTCATGGCGGCGCGCTCGCGCCGCGCTTAGTCTTGGTGCGGCGCCGCTGGCGGCGGATGGAAGCGGATGGCGGCGGCCACCAGCAGCCGTCAAGATGGCGGCAGCAGCGGCCGAGAGAAACAGTGCCGCCCGCCGCGGCCTATTTATAGGGCCGAGCCTGCGGCCGCGCCCTCTCCGCGCACGTCATGCCGGGAGCCGTAGTCGCCCCTCCCCGCGGCATGCCGGGAGTTGTAGTCCCGAGCCCGGCCGCCATTTTGCACAGCGCTGCCCTTCCCGGCCCGGGGCGCGGCGCACCGAAGCCCCCCGCCCCAATGAGCAGAGCCACGTCTCCGTGCAAAGAGGTGCCACGAGTCAGCTTTATTTGGAAAACAGCGTCGGTTACAGAGTTCTTCTCGGGAGCTTTCGCTTTTCAAAATCTTAAGCGGGTTTTCTGTTTCTTGTATCAAGAGGTACAGCACGTAAAAATCGAAAATTAAATAAACCTGCAGCAAGTCTCAGTGGTTTACAATCCGCGGGGGGAGCAGCTCTGCACGGACAGAATATTGCTTAAAAACACCCAGGGCGCCCCGGGGCCGAGCCGTTCGACTCGACGGCGGCTGCATCCGGGCCGCAGCACGGGGCGCTGCCTGCGGGACCTGCGGCGCTCCGCCCGAGTTGGGCCGCAGGTGAGCGGCTGGGCGGCCGCGAAGGAAAGGAAGAGCCGTCCGCGTCCAACCGCATTGAACTCGACGTTTGTTGGTGGCTTTTTTTCCCCTCGGAAAAGGCTTGCTGTACGAGAGCGGTGCCCCCGGCTGCTCTCAGCCTGCATCCAGCGGCTGGAGCATCGCCACCGCTCTCAATGTTGGAACAGGCGAGCCCAGCAGCACGGCGCGCAGCAGCTGCCTGCCGTCCGAGCGGCGCCGGGCACCGCCTGCTTCCTCGGGCGTTGGATTTAAAAACAAGCTCACCACAGCAATCTGTTTAAAAATAGAGTGTTTATAGGTAAACCAAGGCAGAGACAGGGCGCAGTAGACGGGACGGCCTACGGTCTCACCGGGGACACCGAATTTGCTGCTTTTCCCAATGATAAATGTACAATCTAAAGGTTAAAAGAGTGAGAAATGCTCTGCCTCGAGGTAACGGACAGAGATCCTGCACGGCCGGGAGGAGCTGCCAGCTCTGCAGGCAGATCGCAAGCACAGATCGCTTTTCTGAGGGCATTATCAGCTTTTTTTCCTCCAAGAAAATCTGTAAAGGGAAAATTTAAAACCAAAACGAGGAGGAAGAAGAAAGCAGGCAGCTCTGCACGCTCCCTCTCCCTGGGAATGGCTTAGTTGTTCACCTCTTTAACAAGTATGAGTAGTATAAAAGGTTAGAAAGATATAGACTAGCTTTTACTCCTGATTTTATTTTTTCTGCTTTCTTTTTTAAGTAGTCTGAAGTGGCAGAGAGAATCCTCCCTCCTTGGCAAAATCAATAGGAGCTGCTTGTAGGCAGTGGGACATCCGGCTGTTTGCCGTTTGGTTGTAAGAGACAAACAGCGCTGGATTTTGTTTCTGGTTGTTTGTCTGGGGGGGTTTTGTGTGTGTGTGTGTGTGTGTGTGAGAGCCGGGTGCTGGGGGAGCAGCAGGAGCTGCTCAGTCTCCGGCCTCGTTCTCCTCCGCCGTCTCTCCCGTGGTGGCATTCTCTGCATTCTTGGAGGCCTGTGGAAACAAAGCCACAGCCACGCTCAGGGCAGGGACCCGCAGAGCACACAAAGGCCCTGAGGGAAGAGGACCCTGCGCTCCCCACAGCACGGGGACACCGGCACTGTTGAAGTGCTGCACTGAAGCCAGCCCAAAACACAGCCGTGCAGAACTGGGTTACACCTGGGCACTGCTGGCCACGAGAGCCGTGCCAAATCCTCCCAAAACGTGACTCAATTACCTTCTTTTTCTTCTTTTTCTGGGTCTTCCGGCTTGCAGAACTTTGTAGGAGGGCCTACGGACAGGAAGGAAACATGAGAAGCTAGAAAGCCATACTCTTTTTTTGACAGAAGATGAAAGGAAATGCCTTTAAAGCAGAATGAGCTCTGCCAGCCTCTGGAGGAATGGCAGTAAGTCCTAATGGGCACAGTGACAGATGGAGAATGCCACAGCAGCGCACTCGGCTGCGGCACGAGGCCTTGAGGCCAGCTGTCCAGGCTTCTCAGCCACTCGAGGAAAGGGCTGGGTGCTGCTATCGCAAGCAAAATCTGGGGTTTGATGCAGGAAACAGGAGCCCAGCCTGGTCTAAAGTACATTCTTGGGGCTGCAGGATTACAGGGAGCCACTGACTTGCACCATGACCGGCTGCTGTCCTTGGGTGTGCAGGAAATTCGGCTGTCAGGGCTGAGCTTTTGCTTTTTAAGCTCCTGCCTCAAAGCAGGCTTCTGGGTTTTACTCCCCTTCACCCCAAGCACAACGAGCAAAGGGCGCCGCGTGCGACACCTGTTGTGTTCTTTCTTTTTGCACCAACCTTCAGCTCTCCATCTTGCACCTCAAACTCCGACTTGTAGAGCTCAGGTTCGAAGGGGCCGCTGGTTATCCTCATAGGACCGTTAGGCATTAAAAGCACTGTGAATTTGAACTGTGCAACAAACTCTCCTGCAAAGCAGAAACAGGCATTACTGCACCACAGCAATTCCAGCTCCTGTGCTGTCTCCAGTCACCGCTGCAAACCACCCTTGGGAACTCCCTGCTAAGCAAACCAGAGGCCTTCAACCTTCAGTCTCTCCTGTCTGGGGAATTACTCTGTGAGAAATCTCAACTAAGCACTGGAACAAATCTGAAACAAGGCCCAGAAGCCACCAGGCAGTCGAGTGTCCTGGAGGGTGGATGCCGGGGCCCTCAAAGCATCTCTGGCATCGAAACAGCAGCAGCGTGAGGCTGGGGAGGCGCTGGACACCAGCCCACATCCAGCTCCCAGCCTCCCCCCGGCTGCACTCACCTTCCTTTTCGTAGAGCACGTTGAAGGGCTGGAGCAGCTCATGTTTGGCGCATTCCACCACCCCCATCCTGGCCTTCTTCTCATCTTCAAACGCCCTGCAGAAGAATGGGAGCCACAGCTGAGCAGATTCCACCCCTCAGGCTTCAGAGCCACCCCTGGGCTCAGGCTGGGGACTTTGCTTTACATCCCTCTTGCCCAGCAGTGCTGCTGTCAGAACAGGGAATTGCTGCAGGAACCACTGCCTTCAGAGAGCAGAGAGGACAAGTGGCTTTAAGGATGGAAAGGTTTCCTTCTTGGAGCGAGCGCCTACAAAAACTGTTTGGATCTGCCTCCTGTCTTCGTGCTGCAAGCTGACGGTATTTTATTTTAACCACAACTCCAGGCTCCTCACCTGCCACAAAGGCACAGGAGATTCTCCTGTCCTCATCTGTGCCTGGGATTCCAGCTTAAGCCTGCAACTTCCTTCCTCCACCCACCCCGGGGCTCAAATACAGCAAACGCAACAGAAAGCAGCAAGGCTGCCTCCGCCTCTGCGCAGACCATCATCAGATCTGCAAGCTCGCCAAGCACCCGGCTCAGAGGAGGTCACGAATAAAAGCCAGTACCTGAGAGTGAATGGCATGGTGTCAAAGCGCCTCTCCACCTCGCTGAAAAAGGCACGGGAGGTTTTCATCTTCAGGCCGTACTGTTTGGAGGGGTCCCTTTTGTAAATTGTGGTTCTCTGCCCAGCATCCTTTGCCTGAAAATGCAAACGCAGGTGAGAGCAGGGAAGGAGCAGAGCAGCCCTTCCTCAGCACCAGCCAGCAGCCCGCGTGCATCAGGGCAGCTACAGACAGAGCTTCTGTGTTCTGGCGCTGCAAAAGCACACCTGAACTCTGATGGAAAAACCTGCACCCAGAAAGGCAGAGGGGTTCCCTGCTGGGCTCGGCACGTAGAAGGATCCAATGGGTGACGGCTGGAAACAAGCTGCTCTGACTGCGTGCAGAGCAGCAGCGAGCCAGACTCACCTTTCCCTCTCCGCTGCTGACAAGAACATCAACGGCGTAAACTTCGTGCACCTCAAATTCTGCTTTTTCGTGGTCCTTCCTGGAAGAAAGAGGTTTGGTGAGTCAAAGAATGGTAAGGAGAGAAGGCAAAACCTTTGTGGCTACAGCCACTGCTCCTCAAACGAGCCCTGAGCTTAGCTTGGAGGTGTATGGGCACGAAGCAGAGCCAGGGTGACACACAAAGCAACCGGGACCTCGAGCAGAAGAGCAAAAGCTGGCACGGAAGTTGAAGATTTGCACGTCGGGCACCAGAGCTGCTCAGCAACAAGCTGGCAGAGAACAGTGACAAACCAGTGGCGTTCCTCCCCAGGACAGTCCTTCCATCCCCAGCGAATGGGGGACGCTCAGCAGCTCTGGGAACTTGTGGTCACATCAGGCAGAGCGAGGGCCACCAGCCTGGCTCATCGCTACACCTGAGAGCTTGCAGGCCCAGCTCTGCACCGACCCCCTGAGCTCCAAACACCCAGCCTGAGACTCAGCCCTGACTGCATCCCTGAGGGAGAGAAGATGCTGGAACAGAACAGAGACTCGTCCTGCCCATCAGCTCAGCACCATGCTGAGATCTTACTGACAGCAATCACCCTCTGCGGGCTGCTGGCAGCTTCTGTGAGACAGCAGCAGGCCTTGGCACCTTCTGGGGAACGAGCATCCGCTGCCACGACCAGCAGTCGCTGCTTATTTTGCTGGCAGCCCCCAGGGCCGCAGGCAGTAATTCACTGATGGAGACTCCTTCGAGAGACTGGACGGCAACCAAGAACCTGCAGGTGCCAGCAGTCCCGTGCCTCTGACTTTCAAGCTTTCTTTCTCGGAACAAAACCCAGGCACAGAAGCCGCAGCTCGCGTTCACACAGCCAAGGTGTGGGGTCACGAATGCCTTCTGGGCCAGACTTCAATCAGGAGGCAGCACGGGGAGCAGTTTTCCTTGCTAAAACTCCTGTGGTGGCCCTCGGCCACGAGGTGCAAACTGAGCTGCTGCACCCGCGCTCGACATCACACCAAGGGCGAGGAATGGGGCCAGGAGCCACACGCAGCCCCTCCCTCCACACACAGCACAAAGCTCCAGAGCGATGCTCACTTTTGCTGGTCTGTAGGGTTCTGGATGATTGTTTTCTCCCCATCGATCACGTG